ATGATCTATCTGCAAGTTGAAAAGCTACAACGTGAAAAGTTGTATTATTATGAAAAATATAACCAGCAAAATATACAGGCTATTTATATAGCGTAAACTTTCTCGGACTGTATCAATACTGGTTCATCAACTAGAAAGGTTTAGTAATGGCTACTAATTATTCTTATGCATTCTGTAAAAGAATCTGATAAAAATAAAACAAGTCCATATATATATATATATACACACATATATTTACACTTCTCCTTAGACAATAGCATACTGTTCATATAAAAGGTCTCTAATTTTATAGAAATCTTCACAGAGACAACCTTCCAATCCAATACGTCCAGTTTCAGTCTGTAATAAAAAATATATAATTATTTACTTTTTTGAAAGATTTCCTACAATTGATACATTAAATGTACATACATATATGTTCCCTATGTACTTACTCTGCGAACAGCGACCAAGTTATTACACACTAGAACTCCTCCCACAAATTCAGCTTGGACTCCTTCTCGCAATAGAACTTGCTTAAAATCAGATAATCTTGGCTCATTCATGAAGACGGACTGATGTCCAGGAACCTTTTGTCAAGAGGATTCAAGCCAAAATAAAATTTCAATATATTTCAAATACCTGAAGCATCCAGTAAAGTTATTCTGTTTTTGTATCACAAAATTCATACAAATTTGTACAAGGCCATATGTTTCATAGGAAAAAAATGGCCTATATGTTGTACATCATGGCAGAATTTATTTTATTAAAAGCCTCAATTCTGGTCACGGATATATAGCATAAGCAATTTCAAAATCTTTAACTAACATACTCTTAGGAGTGACATGGTATTTGCTGCCCTTCTTTTATCGAAATAACTGATTTCATTTGATTCAGACACATTTGAGGCTTAGTGATTTTTTTTTTTAAAAAAAGTTCAGCTTTCATTTAGAAAAGAAAAAAAATCCTGGGAGAAAAATGCTACTTTTTAATATTTAATATTATGTACATGAAAGACAGTAGCTCTTCATTTTTTATTACATGGAACTGCTTTTATTTTAACAGTAACAGATCTACAATTTTAAACAAAACACCCAAGTAAAAACCTGGGTTCCTGTCATGAAATGTATTTCAATAATGTCTTTATATAGAAGACCATGTTCCCAATGCAATAAAAGTTCACTTTTAAATCTTACCTCATTGGGTGGTAAGGGCTCCAAAGTAGGAATAATTTCACTCTCCTCACAGATTTCTTTGTCATCATCACCAAAGAGGCTTTTAATGGCCTTTTGCTGTGCCACAGCACTGGAATCTGAAGAGGGTGCATCTACTTGCATTTCAGTGTCATCACCGTCATCTCTCAGTTCCCCTTCTTCCAAAATTACCCCTGTGTCTACTTTTGATACTCGCATATCCAGAACTCCATCTATCCATGCAAGTTCTGCATCTTTAGCCTTACAAAACTGAAGAGAACTGACTAGGGAGTCTTTTAACCTAACCTAAAACAGAATTTAAAAAAACTAAAATAAACAAACAAGAAAGAATTTACATTCTAAGCAGCACTGCTTGCAAAATATCAATAGCCAAAGAAGACAGTGTGAAAGACAATGAAATCAAGACATTGTTTTTATTTTTAGCATTTATTGTTAAGGAGTGCATTGGTTTAGCAAATAACCATTAAGTTACTGGAGCCAGAGAGCCATTTATGTCCCGTAGTGGACCAAGCTTACTACTTACTGCACTAAGCAATGATTTGGCATAATATGTAATTTATTGAAAGTACACAATTGCCTGACTCTTTATATTTCAGAAAGCCAGAAATCACTCTATCAATCACAATTAATTCCTATAATACTCCAAGTTAAAACCTAAGGAATGATGCAATGACTCAGTGCAAGGTTAAACAATAGGAAGGCCTTGTAGGGAATTATCTTGTTGGATTTTCAAACAGGAAAGTACCAGCCTTGGGGAAAGAGCACACTTAACAAAAGCAATCAAAAAGGAAATATTGGCTAATTGTAAAATTAACCTTGCTATGAGTAGACAAATGTTTATCATCTTATAAATCAACTTTAAAGTATTTAGAAACCTTTCTTTTATAATAAAAATACATCCAAAATATATTCTCTATATTATATTAGACCACTGAAGTACAAGATATAAATAACAATTGCTAATAAATACAGTAAAATTCTATAATATTAATATAGTTAACATAGTAATACAATTCAATGACATAAATATATGTAGCAAAAATCATACCTTATTATCGGAATATAAAAGCTCTACCAACCCATCATGATCATTTTTAAGGAAACACCTAAAAAAACTAAGTCTTTCAAGGATCTTTTTAAAAGGAGCCAGTGAGGAGGTCTGACATTTCCTATCAGGCCAAAATATAGATATGGTACTATTGTCCGCTCTGCCCTCCCCCTCCCAAAATATCTTCCTGTGGTTTGTCACACAAGTTCTTTTCATGGATGGCCATGTAAGGAGGCTTCAAATGCAAATCTCAAAGTAGGGCAGACTGACAGAATGATTGGAGTCCCTCAAGAAATGAGCCCAAAGTCCATTCAAAACGTAATACCAGAACTTTAAAATGCCCTAGAAATGCATCTTGAGGCAGCTCAACAGTATACAAATCCTCTGAAGTAGGTTCTTTGTAACGTGTACTAGGAGCATGTCCAAATCACTTTTTTAATCATTAAAACAGTGGCATCTTGTTCCATGCTTATACATAGTATAGTAGTTCTAGAAGGTGTTGCCAGGTGCCTCCACCTGCATATCCACCAGAGCCACCCGGATACAGATGGGAGCAACTATGTGCCTCCACGCACATAGAAATAGTTAGGAGCAAGCTCCAAAGTAGACCTACAAGCCTGGAAAAAGATGTGGCTCCTTTAACAATTCCAAAAAGTGGTTTGTATATACAGGTGAAACTCGAAAAATTAGACTATCGTGCAAAAGTTCATTTGTTTCAGTAATGCAACTTAAAAGGTAAAACTAATATATGAGATAAGACTCGTTACATGCAAAGCAAGATAGTTCAAGCCATGATTTGTCATAATTGTGATGACAATTATGCAGCAACCCTGGTCTTAATGAAGCACAGTGGTCCAAAGTCCTCTTTTCTGATGAGAGCAACTTTTGTCAAAAGCACCAAAAACTGGTTCAATGACTGTGGGATTACTGTTCTTGATTGGCCTCTCCATTCTTCCTCCAT